CTCCTCTCTCTCCTCTCTCCTCTCTCTCCTCCTCTCTCCTCTCTCTCTCCTCTCTCTCTCCTCTCCTCTCCCTCTCTCTCTCTCCTCTCTCCTCTCCTCTCTCCTCCTCCCCTCTCTCTCTCTGCCTCTCCCCTCCTCCTCTCTCTGCCTCTCCCCTCCTCTCTCTCTCTGCCTCTCTCATCTCCTCACTTCCTCTCTGCAGTGAGTTTTATTCTCTTTCCCTTCGTACTGGTTCCTTCTGCTTTGATCATACTTGAGACTGAAACACTGCAGCCTCTCATCTTAAGCGCCAACTCTCATTAACCGGAATCTTTGGAGTGCCAAACCGAAATCTCCCAGGGCAAGATAATGAGTGTGTCAGCTTAGGGAGGGAGGTCACCCCAGGTCCAATCAGCCATGATGTCACGGGCAGAGTGTGTGGTGGGGGAGGTCCTCTGACCCGCCCCCGACGGGGGAGAGGCCCCAGAAGCATAGGTGCAGAGTGAAGATACTGGCAGGTTCTCTCAGAAAGGAGATGCAGGCTGAGCGGTGATGACTGGTGGAGGCCTATCTAGAACACAGACACTGTGCTGAGCGCTGGGGCAGGTGCCATTCATTCATTGTGGATATATTCACTGCCTGCTTACTATGTTCTGGTCACTGTTCCAGGCACTGGGGACCCAGCAGTGACAAGGAAGACAGAGAACTTTGCCCTGCTCGAAACCTCATGCTGTGACACAAAGAATTATACACTAGAGCAAACATGAACACGAGCAGGATAACTTCAGATCGTGGTAAGTGCGTGGAGGAATTGGCAGCACGATGTAGGGTGATGGGGCAAGGGCGGGGGAAGGTTATTTTTAACTGCCATTTAGAATGTTCTATTCTGTCATACGGGCCAAAAATACCCAAAATAGTGCCAAGATCTGGTTGTTCTGTTTACAGAGAAGGAAGTAAGAGTAGAGTCTAGAATGTTCCCTTTCAGTTCTCCCTGTGCTTGGCATGATGTGGGGAACCACTAGGGGCAAATATCAAGCTTGGGCTGGATGAGGGACGACCAGCCCTGCGAGCGACTCCCTCTAACCCCCTTTGGAACCTATTAACACAGCTCTGAGTGGTCCGGGACTTACCACATTCCAAGAGCCATCTGCCTATGCTTGACTTGGGGGCTGGGGGCCTGCCAAGTGCCGGCTTCAGGGGAAGTGAGGGAATGTAGTAGGTGAGTGGTTCATCTGCTGGTCTCAATTTCAGGCCTCTTGGACTTTGCCCAACAGTCTTCCATAGAAAGGATGCAGCAAAGGGCAGGGCTGTTCCCTCACTGTCCTCAGAAATGACAACAGCTAAGGCTTACTGAATGCTTAGCAGGGGCGAGGCAATTAACCATCCTGGTCACCAGTTTCAGTGTGAGGCCTGGTACCCCACACCACCAGGCAATCTGGACACCAGCTGAGTGTCCTACAATTCATGTCAGTTTTGACACTCTCTCCCAAAAGACAGCATCAGATTCCATAGGTGAAGGGCTCAGTCCCACAAGGCTGCCCTCCACTTCGGAGACTAATCCCAAGTGCAGGTTTTCCCCTGTGCTTCTGACGGACTGGCTGCAGACGGGAGATTCCAGCGACTCCCACCTTGGGTTTGATTAATTCCCCAGAGTGGCTCACAGAACTCAGAGGACTAGCATTTTGCTTCCTGGATGACTGGTTTATTACGAAAGGATGTATGTAACTTAGGAGAGGCCAGGTGGAAGAGGCACACAGGTCAAGGCTTGGGGAAAGGGCATGGAGCAGCTATACTCTACCCGAGGGTACCACTCTCTCTCCATCTGTATGTGTTCACCATCTCAGAACCTCTCCGAACCTCCTCCTTTTGGATTTTTACGGAGGCTTCATTACACAGGCATTATTGATTAGGTCACTGGCCATTGGTGATTGTTTCAACTCCCAGCCCCTCACCACTCCTGGAGGTCAGGGGGTGGGATTGAAACTT